CTCGGACACGAGTAGTAGTTGATGAAGTTCATGATGCTAATGCTCCGAGTGCCTTTTCCTAATGAAGAGATTCAATTAGTGGGGCGGGCAAGCGGGACATTCTTGGCTTGGCCAAAACGTTTGGTTATGCCACTATCGGCACGAGACCAAGGTAATATATATATATATATATATATATATATATATATACATATTGTCTATTTACTCTTTTCTAGTATTATAATTATATAAATGTTTAATTAATTGTTATCATTTGTTTAGGAGGACTTGCGTCGTGCTAAGCATAAAAAATAACCTATTATTGATGAGGATCTGACGGAATGTGATGATGATCCCATCTCTATGTTGTTAACTGTATTACCACGGTTGAGGAAGAGACCGTGTCAGATAGAATGGGATGTTAGAGTGTTTGGAATTGACAAATCTAGTGTTCCATTGTACATTTCCTTGCTCGATGCTTTAGAAATTGTTGGGGAAATTGCATGTTAAACATTTCCATCATACAATTGTGGGCAATGTAAGTCATTTTCATTTATGTTTCTAAGATTATAATAATTATATTCAACTTATAATTAATTGTTTTAGGTACCTTGACAATTTGAGTGTGGAACAAGAAAAATCCGAAATATACGGATTTATTGAGCCTCAATCCATCCAAAAATGCGGAAATACAAAGGTTGGAATCCAACAATATATGCAAACATGGATGAGTGACTCAAGAAGACATATATATTTGGCTCCATACATTGAAGGGTTAGTATTTTAATTTGTATTTTAATTTATATTTTTGTAACTAATTTTTATGTCATACAATGTAGGTCCCATTGGCGAGTTAATTGTAATCATACCCGGGATTACACTCGTGGTGTGGTTTTGTTCATTACATGGGAAACCGAAGTCAAGAAATGAAAAGCTTATTACAAGGGTAACTTTATCTTTTATTCATTAATTATGTTTTTAAATTGTGAATACATATTGAATAATATATGACTTTTTTCACTTAGAATCGTGTATCCGGAACTAATGTTCTAAGTGGAAAACCTAGAACAAAGACTTTGCAGTTCATTTATCCTAAGGTTAGAAACTTATTTATATAAGTGAATACCATAATTATTGTTTGTATTTCAATTTTGAAAATAATATTATGTTTTTTTCATCATTTCGAGTGTAATAAGCAAACTGACTCGTTTGAATGTGGTTACTATGTAATGTATTGGATGAGAACCATAGTTTGTGCGGGTTTAATTGATTCTTGGACGAAGGTAATTACTTTTAACATTAGTTAAGTTTATTTAACTTTATTCATGTTGCATGCTTACAAGAGTCAAATTCATGTTTCGGGTATTTCAAGATCCATCTCCATTACCGAATCCGAGATTACGAAATTAGAGAACAATGGACAAAATTTTTTGTTCAACAATTCTAGTACATTATTTTTTAAGTTCTTGTTCATATTATATTGTGTGTATTATGTAGTTTATTTTAGTTTGTATAGGTAGCTTAGTTTGTAATAGATTTTTTAGTTTGTATGTTTGTATTATATTGTTTTATTATGTAGTTTGAATTATATAATATTATATTTTTAATTTACTAGCTAAAGAAAACTGAACACCTGGACTGTCTGGTTGTAATATTTGCAAGTTTTAGTTGTAAAACAGAATAAATAAACCCAATTTAAAAAAAAAACAGTAAATTTACGTTGCATCTTGGTATATGCAACGTAAATTTTCTGTTTTTTAATTGAAAAGGTTTTTACGTCTGTTTAGTGTAAATCTACGTCGGATCTTGATAAGCGACGTAAATCTACGTCGGGCAAAAGGGTCCGACGTAAATTTACGTCTCCCGCTTTAACGTCGGACTTAAATACGACGTAAAAAGTCCTAAATACTCGACGTAAAAGCCCCCTTTTTGCCCTAGTGAAGGATGAAACTAAAGCTAAAGTGTACTTCATAATATATTTTAAAATAAATAGTCAATATAACTATCTTATGAAATTTATCTGGTTAAAATACAAAATGCTGTTTAAATGAAGGATGCATTTTGTGCATATGTAAGGTATTAAATAAGGTTAGACTAAGTCAAACTTACTATTAAAAAGGGAGTGAGTCAGTCTAAATTTTAAATTTTAAATTAATTAACAATTTGTACCACCCGATCAAACTTTGATCGGCTATGGTCATTTCTTCAACGTCTAGTGTCTTTTTAGTTTATGATTTTGGACAACAAATTTTTAGTTGTGAGACATTTTATTAGGCATGGAAAGTGAAATTTATAAAAAATTATAAAAATAAAAATATTGGACATTATATAAAGTAAAAGTAAAATTAAAAAAAAAATGTTTGATAACTAAAACAAACTAATAAATAGCTTAAAATTAAAATGAGACATTATATTATGTATGTTATTTTATCTATTAGTTTTGAGTTGGTTTATTGAGAAAACCATCACCCTTATAGAAATATTGAAAGTGTTGGGGGTTTATAGAAATAAAGGCCGTCTATAACTAGCTAGCTTAATCATCTTCCCATTATTATATACCAAGTTGTTTATTACATTTTAAATGATTTGGTTACTTTTATTAAATAATTCCTATTAAAGAAGCTTGCTATCCATTCAGCTAAATGTATTATTAAACTACAATTTATCAAATAAAGTTCGTTTCTTTAAGAATTAGAAGCCGATGATTAAGTCATAATACTTAGTATAGTAGTAGTAGTAAGATTTTCTATCTATTTTATGTAGTGTAGTAGCGTGTTATTATTAATTACTATGACTATGTAAACACCAACGTCTCTGTCAATGTCAACTCAATTAATGACCGCAAGTGCAGGAATACGTGGAACAAATATATAAAAATAAAAAATAAAAAATAAAAAATAACCTAGAGCATGATTTAAAAAAGGTTAATGAACTTTTAAAAGTTAAAGTGAATTAATTATTTTATGATTATGTTAAAAATATCTTATACTAAAGACAAAAGAGATTAAATTAAAAATAAATTTACTGATACTAAGTACAAGAATTTATGGAGAAAGTCATTTATTTGAAACTGATGAATATTGTTCGCAGATATAATGTAATAAAAGCAATGTAAGTTACAGTGTGTGTTACCCATATGAAACGCAACTCGGTTGAAATTAATTGATTCCTCCACAGACATGCCGACCGCATTTATAGAGTTATACCTACATCATAGCCAAACATTAATTCATTCGGAGGTCCCTTTTCACTTTTCTTCTTGAGATCTACTTAATTTAAACAAATCACCTACATGTTTTTATATTTCTTTAATTCTAGTATCATGGATGATTATCATGTTTATGTTTGTGTTATAATTTTGTTCTTAAAAACATTTTAACGTGTTAAAAGAGAATAAATCATTCTTAAAATCTAAACGAGATTTATAAGTTTATTCCAGAACATTATTTAATAAATAAATAAATTTTTAAATTTGTTAGAAGATATTGTTCAAATATTAAATAATGTGGAGAAAGGTTACGAAAAGAATTTCCCCGTAACGCAAGAAATGAGAGGAAATATGGAAATGTTCGTCTCCTCAACTACCAACCAGCCGAAAGACGGAGGAACAAATGAACCAATGTAATGTAACCCTTCAAAAGTCAACTTGAAGCTACCCCACGTCGTCACTCCATTCCACACTCTATTTTCTCGTTTTCACTCTCTCTTTCCCACACGCGTTTAGGAACATTAAATATTATTATTTGGTAATTGTTTTCAATTACTGTCTATACTCACTGAAAGAACTTTTTATCTTCTAAGCCTTAAAGAATATTTGCTATGCACGTAGAATATAGGTTAAGGTCTTCATTGTAAAGGAACATAGCCAGCATTTAGGTTATACGGAAACCTTTTAGGTATAATATCTTTGTTATGTAATTTATAAATGATATACAATAAATGTAATAATGATCACAATAATTATTTTAAAATTATGCATATTCGATATTAAATTAATAATATAAAATAACCTGAAAACAGTACTGCGTATTTATTGTGGTAACAACTATTTTAATTAAGAGTGGTGATATTTTGACAACCAGAAACCATACAACCCTTCAAACAACTCACTTTTATTAATATAATAATCTATAGAATGATTTAATAAAAATAAAAATAAAGTAAAACTATTATTATAATATTATAATAGAGTTGTTTATAGGAATTGTATGGATTTGGGTTGTCAAAGTATCATTTTCCTTTAATTAATTGATTATGTACATGTAATAGGAGTCAATTACATCTTCAAAAATTATATCTTCCCTCAACTTACAACTGCAAGTAGGTATATTTGATTTATATATGCGTCTATCAATATTCACTGCGCAAAACTACCACTCTTTCTCTAAATTTATTATTTACTATTCTCCTGATTCATAATATAATAATAATAATAATAATATATTATAACATCGTTACATAAAAACTTTTAGAACACGAAGACAAATTCATCTTCTTACGAGTTCTGGTTTATATATATCACAAGTATGCATAGTATATAACACTATTATCATCATTATTAAATGTTACGTTACGTAAACATTATACTTGATAGCTTTTCTCACGAAACTGCTGATATTAGTACTATAAACGCATATGGATATAGTTGTGAGCAATAAATAGTACTATATACGAAGAAATTATTTATAATTAAAAAAAAAAATAGAGTCATATTTGTATATATCTATCTTTACATTTTAAAAAATGTTAAATAAATTGAAGTGTTTATTTAGTTATGCATGTTGCATTATTTATCTCTTTCCATTTTTCTTATTCAATTATTACACTGTTCTTTATCATTTTTCTTCCATCCTTTTTTTATAGATTTAGTGTGTAGCGAAAATATATATAAAGAGCATCAACATGTGCCAAACTTCATTACTTCCCCTTTTTACTTATTTTCTTACCCACCCTGTAGCTAGCTCTTTCTCTTCTGTTTCTGCTTCACTTGGGTGTTTGAGTTAGAGAAAGAGGATAAAACCATGGAAGGTATCTCAGGGGGGTTGAAGAAGTACTTTCGGAGAAGCATAAGGGGATACCAAAGATTGCATGGGGGGGACGGACGTAAGAGAGAAACGGTTCAGCTTGGAGAGAACCCAGGAAGAAGGAGATGGCGCATAAAGATCAATCCGAAGATGAAAATCCGCAAAATCTCTTCCCCCAAGAAGTTGGTGCTGTGGGTCAGAGACGCCTACATGAGGATGATGCTTGGTCTGGCTAGCTCCATGGGTGCGTCTGCCGTGGGCTTCGGCGGCGACGCCACCTCCACCACCGCCAACGGTGTCTTCGAGAGGGGCCCACTGCCCAAGGAGTACGACCAGAAGATGATCTTCCATATGTACAAGTCCTTGATTATGGCACAGGGACAGTTGCTGCCCCTAGATCCAACACCCAACAACGGTGTCATGACAATGGCTACCACTGTCTCATAATTTCTTCTTAGTTTTATTTTTAATTATGAAAACATGTTTTATCCTTATTAGTAAGATTGAAAAAAAAAATGTACTGTTTTATACAGAAACGTGAAAGACAAAATAATGAAAACAAAGCTATATTTTCATAATCGAGATAAAAGAGTGAATATTAAATAAAAAATTATTCTCTTAAAAACTAAGTTAGTCTTAACTTCTTGTCCCTCTACATTTTAGATTCCAATCTTAGATTTTTCTTGGATTTTTGCTTGTAATTTTTTAATAAAGATGCATCAATTACCTAGATCTGAATTGTAATTAATGAGATCAGCATGGTGTTTGCATAATAAATACAGGAAAATGAATATTACAATTCACCATCTGATTGAATCATTGAGGCAAACCCTATTCTATAGGGAATGTTTGGTCTGGACCCAATAAACAGTACTGGGATAGGGTTAGACCTTCTCACTTCAGTACATGCCATAACTATAATTCATACCAGTACTTGTTTATAGAAGATCAATCAGTTTGATTCTGTGCACATTAGAAAACAATGTTTATCTCTTAACTGTATCTCAATGTTTCAGGACATTACTCTCTATTTTTACCTAAAGATATCTTAACTCATAAAAATGAAAAAAAAAAACTATACTTAAGTTTGGTTATTGAGTTAAACATTTTAAAATATAACATTTTAAAACAAAAAAGGATAAGATAAATAATATTAAATCAATTGCAAACTTTTCCATTCAACCATCTTATTTTTAAATCTTACTACTTAATTTTTTTTCCAAAAAATCACACATTTTATCACTATTTTTTTGCATGATAAAATGTTAAGTGTTCCTAAAAAATAGCATATTTTATTATTATCATTATTATTAATATAATAGTAAAATATGTGTAATATTTGATTTTTTTTAAATAGGGTTGAAATGTGTAAACATTCAGAGTTAATGTCAAAATGCGAAAAAAAATGTTGATCGAACAAATTTGTAAAATAATATGAAAGAAAATACTTGTCTCAAAAGTTATGTGATAGATAAATAATAAAATTAAAAAAAATGAAACGTGAATTTAATAAAGTAAAAATAATATTGTTTTTGACATGTATGATGATGATATTGTACATTTTGTAGTAAATATTTTAAGTAATTTGTAAGACATTTTTTTTTGTTTATTTACAGTGGAAAAAAAAAACGAAATAAATGAAAAATAATCTGATTTGATATAATATGCCCATGAACCCACTTCGAAAATAAAGTAGAAGAGGTTTAGAAAGGCCCAATACTAAACATTGGTTTCGTTCCAATTAAGCTCATTAAAACTCTAAAGCCCATGACTAATCAAAGTAATCCTAAATTCAATGTTAATTAGTTTTTTACAATTCCAAATTATAAAAATGTGTTTTTCAGTATTTACATTAATTTACATTTTACAGTTTTTTTACTGTCATGACTAGGATGTGAGTATCTCATGTTTCAACAGAAAGTTATTAATAAATTTGAATTAATAATCATAGTCATTACAATTTTTTCCAATTAACAATAATTTATTAATTGTAATATACCATTAAAATTGTTATTAATATTCCAAGAAGCAAGGTGCCAAAAACATAAAATTTCAACTCTTTGGAAGCGAGTCAATCCGAGTATTAACAGTGAACAGGTTGGATTCTGTAAATAAAAGGTAACTTTTTTTTTTAAATGGATTGGGTTTATTCAGCAAAAAATGTTTTCGATCTTAATTTTTTTTTAAACATTTATTTATTTTTTGGATTTTCGTATAATCCACTCCAGCGAGGAAAAGACGGGTTTGAAAATGGTGTACGCCGGGGGAGTGGGGACAGTATGAAAAGACAATGACAACTGTTATTTGAAATTTAGAAAAACAAAATACTTTGTAGTATTTTCTTATTTAATTCAGTTTTTGTAGCAATTAAACAATGATAGAGTGTTTATTATTATAAATTTGGTCCTTTTGTAAGGAGAACGATTATTGTGTTGTTTGTGGAACCGTGGAGTTGTGAAGTGCAGTGCATTTGAGTGGTGGAAAGTGGGAACCGTAATCGCCAAGCTGGAAAGAAAAGACACCTTTTCCGCACCACTTTCTCTTCCTCCTTTCCCTTCCAACCTTCATCCCAACCTTCCACACCAACACACTCATGGACGCAGCAACAACAACAGACACAAAGGAACATTAGAGCGCGTCACGGTGCGCACGTTTGCACCGCCTCACATGGATTATTCCTCTCCCCCGATTCGCTTCCCTCCCACGCCATCCCTACTCTCATCCACACTCTAGACGCAACCCAAAACCACCCTTCCAAAGGGGACGCGCCAAACCCAACCGGAGGAGGGGGCAAAAACCAAAAAACTAAAATAATGTTTACGATTACGAAATTCTCGGGGTTTTTCTCCGCCGTAATGTTCCTCATTTTTCTTATCATTCTCTCCCCCTCCTTCCAATCCGAAGCAATTCGATCCTCCCACCGGTTTTCCTTCCGCAAAGCCCCTCCCTTCCGTAATGGTGACCAATGCGCCTGGGTTTCCGCCCAAGCAAACGTGTGCGACCCTTCTTTAGTCCACGTCGCCATAACTCTCGACGTCGAATATCTCCGCGGTTCAATCGCCGCCGTGCACTCCATCCTTCACAACTCCCTCTGTCCGGAGAACGTCTTCTTCCATTTCCTCGTCTCCGACACGAATCTCCAAACCCTAGTGGACTCCACCTTCCCGCACCTGAAGTTCAACGTCTATTACTTCGATCCCAACACCGTCTCCCACTTGATCTCCTCCTCCGTGCGCCAAGCGCTGGAGCAGCCTCTCAATTACGCCAGGAACTACCTCGCGGACCTTCTCGAGAGTTGCGTGGAGCGAGTTATCTACCTGGACTCTGATCTGGTGGTGGTGGACGACGTGGCCAAGCTCTGGAGCGCGAGTCTGGGCTCACGCGCCATCGGTGCCCCGGAATACTGTCACGCGAACTTCACTAAGTACTTCACGGCGGGGTTCTGGTCGGAGCCGAGGTTGGCGGGAACTTTCGCGCAGCGGAGGGCGTGTTATTTCAACACGGGGGTGATGGTGATGGATCTGTTGAAGTGGAGGAAGGAGGGGTACACGAGAAGAATCGAGAGGTGGATGGAGATTCAGAAGAGTGATCGGATCTACGAGCTGGGTTCGTTGCCGCCGTTTTTGCTGGTTTTCGCCGGACACGTGGCGCCCATTGAGCACCGGTGGAACCAGCACGGTTTGGGCGGGGATAATGTGAAGGGTAGTTGCCGTGACTTGCACCCTGGTCCGGTTAGTTTGTTGCATTGGTCCGGTAGTGGAAAACCCTGGCTCCGGTTACATTCCAAACGTCCTTGCCCTCTCGATGCTCTGTGGGCTCCCTTTGACTTGTACGCACACTCTTCTCTTAACTAAATTGTTGCTGCCTGGTACATACATATTACATTCAATTCCTTTGTCCTCTGTCATCATTTGTTGCTAGTTTTAGATGTTATTATTCGTGTATTTCTTCTGTAGATGATTTTTCTGTCATTTGTATTCTATTATTTTTCTGTCATTCCCCATTTGAAAATCAAAGTGAACGAACGAAAGAAAAAGAAGTTGATCTTCTGATTTCTTCTTGTTTGTTAATTAATTATGTTATTAGTAATCGGTGGCATTTAGGTCCCAAGAGTGAACTGAAATTTTTTATAAGGATTATTTATACTTGAATCTATACCAATGGAGTTGAGTAGATAGAGCTGGTACCCAATGAGATTTTTTTTTCTGTATTGTATTTAGTATTTGACAATCAAAATTTGAAAAAGATTGTCTAGAAAAGAAATGAAATGCAGTTGAGAACTGAAAACAAGAAAAAGTTGAATCCATTAATACACATTATATATGAGGTTGAATCAGACTTAATATACTAATTTTAGCCTAATATATAAGTAGATTATTGAATTAAAATTAATTATGCTTAAAATAAATATATGATTACTTCAGTATAAAAAATAGTATTGATGAAGTTAAATATTTTATATTAAATACATGATTGTTAGAAGAAAAAAAAATCAATTTTTAAAGAAAACTAATGGTTTATTAAAGTTGAACTCTAGTGTGTACTACTCTTCTGGCTGATGGTGGCGGAGGATGTTGAATGACCTTTACTGGATTCGCGAATCTAAGGATAGAATGGGTTTGCATGTGGTCCTGTTAATTTTTTGTGTTGAGGGAGAGGGAAGTTTTTGCTACTGCTGCTGCTTACCGGCTAAAATAGAGCTGATTAGCTAATGAGGCATCCAATATGGGCGGCAGCGCTGCTACATAATCCAGTATGGCTTGGATTATGTAGGCAGCTAATCCATGTAAGGGAACCATGTTTCGGTGGCAGTGGCGGAGCATTTTAAGTTATCTTTCAGCGTCAGCGTTCTCTTTTCATTGCGTGTCACTCTCACTTTGTCCTTTGCACCCCATGCATAGCTGGCAATGCTCTGTCTTCTGTTTTCTCTCCCATCATTGGATATAAGCTTCCCACATTTTTCTACCCTACAATTAATGAAACAAATAATGGGGCCCTACCCCTATTCCGCAATCCAGACATTATTCGATGCTTTCATTTTTCAAATAAGAAAGTTATTTCAAAGATTGTCTTGTCATAGCTAGGAGTCGAACAAATCAGGTTCATTTGTTACTTCTTCTGCTACTATTGGATGAGAGGTCCCGACGCCATTGTTGCCTGTTAAATGTTTCTTCGCTGTCACAGATGTTTTGGGGTCCAATTCCGTTAATCTTAATGTCCACATGTGTCCTTTTTCCTTTTTAATTTTTCTTTCGTTGTGAAAAGTGGAAAGTAGGGGCCATTGCTCAATGTACTTGCTGTCGTTAAGAATTGATTGCCTTTTTTTCCCATCAACCAAAATAAAGTTTTTAAGCATTTTAGCATTTAGAAATTCTCCATTGCCAAAAATTTCTCCCCGTAAGAATTAAACTTTAAAAGTTGAACTTTTGAAGGTTTTCATTGATAGATAGCTTTATGATAAATTAAAATAATGTAAGCCACGTCGTTGGGTTTTAGCATTGCCAGCTGTTGCTGGATAATAATTGGGTAATAAGTTAAAGAGGGGAATAAAGTCTTTAGTTTTGCGTTGAGGTTAGGATAATGTACTATACTAATAAAGGGTTAGGACATGTCTATTGATGGACCAAAGTTGAAAGATCATTTTCTAAAATTCTTTTTAACATTAAAATCTTTGTTGACATTATTATAATCACAAATCGCAAACACAATATTTTGGTTTGCTATCTACAACGGATGTATAGAATATGTAGATTAACATAAGAGAGGGGCATTAGATGAGGCCTAACACATGGTAGTTAACAAACAGCACTGACCATCTACCGAATCTGGATTTCTAAATAACCTTATTTGAGGTCTGATTTTTCGATGTTATTCACACTTCTTGACTCTTGGCACTTTGGAAAGGTTTACATACGTTAAGAAAGAGTCGTTACTTACCAAATTTTGAGTGGGTAAAGGTAGGTCATTCATGTGAAATTCACATGAATTTGTCAAAATGCAGATATTTTTATTGATTTATTGTAAAAGGGTTGAAGGTAATTAAAAGTAGAGTCCTTGGGATGTATAAGGTCTTGTTTTCCTTTCCCATTGTTGAGCACAAAATGAAACTTTGTTTACTTGTACAAATTATGATTTTGGTGAGCTGTCGGTGTGAGTTAGATTTCTTGAGAAATGTATTTCGACCAAAAATATATAGATTTTTCAAACCTTATCTTCTCTCTTTTGCTACCACCATCAATTTTATTGAACAAAATGTTTACAAACAACTTTCTTCGTCAAAAAATAAATTTACAGGGATTTTATTGGATTGCACCTCAAATGATAAATATGGCTATGTTTCAAAAAGTTTATTTTATTATATTTATTTATATTTTATCATAATTGTAATTGTTAATCTTAGAGAATATTTATTTTGTAATTTCTATTATTATACTTCGACAATTATAATGTGTAAATACTAATATTCAGTGATGTTAAAAATTATGTAATGATTATCATACTAATAATCAATATAATAAAAGCAGGATATTATAATATAAGATTAATAAAGGAATGCATAACATAAAAATTAAATATGTAGCTAAAATAACTTATCTTTAAATGAAAATATAAGCTTTTAAAGTAATTAAAAATATAAATAGTATTACTTCTATTTTTAATATAATAATACAATATAAAAATAGATTTATAAATATAAAATTTAAACTCCATTTTAAAGTATTATAAATCATAATATGTAACAAAATTAAGTTATAAAAGCAAATTGGGAAAAAAATTTCCCTCATTATCAAGGTAAAAAAAATCATAGGACATATATCAAATTAACGTTGGAAAATAGAAATAACATAAGAGACAAATTTATCAAAAGGTGAAACACTTCTTACAAAAATCACTTTATTGTAATTTAATTGAATTTGTTCATGTTCAACTCCTTTTGCATCTCAATTAAAATTTGTAAATCTCAATCAATATGTATTGGGCGTTGGGTAAGCTTTTATTTGAATTTGAATTTGCTATCAATTATTTAGGTATTATGTAGTTATTTTTTTCTAAATAAATGATTGTCTGGTTAAATTATTATTTTTTTACTTTTTCAATTCTATCTTGTTATTATTTTTAGGATCAATTTAATCTATTTTTTAAACACGTCAGACGTGATTATGTATGTTTCCATTAAACAATTCCACAAAAATGGTAAAGATAACATTAATTTATTTATAAAAAGTAATAGGTTTTAACAAAAAAAAACTATTTTTAATAATAGGTTAGAGATACTACTACAACTTGAAAATATACTAAATCCATCCATTTTCTCATTTCATTTTCACCAAGTTTTTATTTTCTTGCCACAATGTTTCTTGGTTCTTTAGCTTCAGTCAGCTTCATGCACTTTATCATCGCTTCGACAATGGTTAATTTCTAAGAAAAAATTGTAACAAAAACGATGGCATTAATATACAATATGATTGCTCGAACGCACAATTAGACGAACAGGGTATTTATCTCACTCATTTGAGATGATGACAACAACAAAATCGAATTTATAGCTACAATGATTGATACAAATGATCATCTCAGTCATTTGAGATGTTAACCATACAGTATGAAGTTGGCAACTTCATCTTTTCTTGTGGTAGTGTGTATACTGATAGTGGCTCACACATGATAGAAAAGAAGATATAATCACAATTGAATTGAATCTAATACATCTAACTCAAGGGAATTGGAAATTCATGTAATCTTGTACTCTGCCTGAAGGAGGGTTTATGTATACCCAAAGCAAAGAGATAATAATGGAGAGTAATCCAGACCAAACATAGATGATGGTAGGAACCTTCCCTCTCCTTCCCATGAGGCCCTTTGCAAATGGATAAAGATGGCACAAGACCCAGAAGCTGAAAAACACACCTCCTACTAGTCTGCTCCACTGTGGAAAGGGACTGTACATAGTCCTAGCTACCCCTACAGCAATAGCAATGGCGTTCACCATCATAATAGTAATTGGAGGGACCATTAGAAAGCTCCATTTCACCTCATAAAGATCAGCAAACTCATCATCTCCACCTTCTGGAGTAGCTGACTTTGAGGTCAAGGTGAATGATATGTCCACTCCTGCTATGACCTTCAACAACCCTTGTAAAACAGCAGCAGGGTGTGCACTTGTTCCACCAATTAACCAGAATTGTTCATTTCTCCACCAATCATGTAGAGTGATTCCTGACCACTTGATCTCGAGCAGTGCAAGCAAGCACAGTGTGATCGTGATCCCCAACAAGAACACTAGAAAAGTTACGCTGAGGGATTGGACTATAAACTGACCCGAAAATAGGGACACTGCAGGTAGAAAGCAATAGACGATCAAAAACATTGAAGTGAAAGGGTACATTCCTACATTGAAATATGCCACCCTCTGCAGGAACTTCATTCTAGGACTTGCTAACAACGCATTGTTCCTTGAGAAGAAGATCTCAACAGAACCTGTTGCCCATCGAAGCACTTGGTGTAGCCTGTCTGTCAAGTTGATTGGAGCTGTTCCTCTAAAAGCATCCCTTTTGGTCACACAGTACACTGATCTCCAACCTCTATTGTGCATTCTGTAACCAGTCACCACATCTTCTGTAACTGAACCATATATCCACCCCACTCTTTTGCCCCATTCAGTTTTCTCCTCATAGGAACAAGATATCACACTAATTGCTTCAGCAACAGTGGCTGCATCCAATGGCTCACGAGGCACAGCAAGAGAACCCATTGGCCTTCCATGTGTTCCCTTTCCTTGCAAATCTTGAAGCAACCTTCCTTGGTATTCCGCCACAGGAATGGATGCAGCAAGAGAAGATGAGTTTCCAAACCTTTTGGGAAGAAGCAAGGACTCTATGTCTGCATCATCATCGTTGTGGTCACCATTTATCATCACAGCAACTTCATCATCTTCCTTTTTTGAAATCTTTGGCTTTCTCAGAAACAGCTTAATTTTTCTCCTGCCAAGCCAGCCATGATGTTCCGTGGCTCTAGGAGGGCTAAATCCATACAGAGCTGTTCTTCTGAATATGCAGCCTGTTCCTACGTACATGGGGCCTTGTAAGCCATCAAGAGCTCTCATGCTCACATCAAAGAACACAGTGTTGTGATTTGCATATCTGTCACTGGGGTCAATGCCCTCAAACCGTTGAGGGAACTGAACGTAGCATATCCTATCACCACCCCTGTCAAGCATAAAGCACATTCCTTCTCTTAGAGCCAAGGAGTTGTAGATGTAATGATCACAATCAAGATTCAGAATGAATGGTCCATTGGACATGATGGCACTGGTGCGAACAAGAGCATTCATTGCCCCTGCTTTCTTGTTGTGGTCATATTCCGGCCGCTTTTCACGAGACACATAAACAAGCATGGGCAACCTAATATCAACATCGGTTGTATCAATCAAGTTATCCCCATTAACTTCTGCACCAAATTCCGGTTCTGCATTTGGTGGAGCTAACATTGCCTGCACAAACACCATGAAAAACTCTGTTAGCCCTTTAACATTTAGCACAAGGTTAAAAGGTTAATTATGTTTTTAGTTCATGAAAATGTCAAAATACTTACTTTTAGAAATTTATCCTTTCTATTTTAGACTCTCATCTAAAAACATTTAAGATGATTTTAATATACATATGAACTAAAATCCCGATACAAGGTTGATTATGTTTTTGTCCAGAAAAATGTCAGAATTTAAGTCTTCATCTCTTTAGAATTTTATTCATTTTATTTTAGTCTCGCAGCTAAAAGCATTCAAAATTATTTTAACAAACATAACTAGAATCCTGATACAAGAGGCAGGGTTTTGGTCCATAAAAATGTCAGAAGTTTTATCTACGGAAATTTTATTCGCTTGATATTAGTCTGTAACTAAATACATGTACGAGGATTTTGATAAACACATGAACTAAAATCATGATAGACGTCTAAAAACCTTTTACTTTGTTATACACACAATACGAACAGATTGAAGAAGTTACCTGAATTATACCAGCATGGTCCCCCCTTGAGTGGTCTTGTTCTGCTGATACCCAAGTTCCTGGCCAATGAGAACCATCGGACATCCACGTAGCTTTAGGAACCTTAATGGGTTCGGAGACATTGGCACCTGTTTCCATCCGTTTCTTACTGGCTCGGAGCTCCTCATGAGCATTGTAAGCATCGGATCTTCTCCTAATGGATTCCGGCAAGGAGTTTATCCTCACTTTGAACTCATCATATTCCCGCTTCACTCTTCTTCTCTCTCTTACAAAGTCCAACCGGACCTTATTCTTTAGAAAATCACGCTTCTGCCCAAAATAAGCTTCAGGATTTCGCGGCTGTATTTGGTGCTTCCGACAGAAAGGAACCCAAATTCTAGCAAACCTAGCAGTCTCAGCTAGAGCTTCAAATGTCAGCAGAGCTCCACCATCATCAGACAAGTAACACGCAACCTTCTCCACTGGATAATCAACTGCAAGGATCGAGAGAATGGTATTGGCAGTGACAAGAGGAGGCTCCTTTTCAGGATCTGCGGTGGAAACAAACACGTCAATTCCTGGTAGATCAGATCTTCCTTTCGGGTTCCGCAGGTTTGGAGACTCAAATCGCTCCTTCAGAACAGATAGATCAGTTACTCTATTCACAGGACATAGTTTAGGAAGTTGATCAAGAATCCACGAAAATGCAAACCATATTTCACAGGTTATGGACATTGCCCATAACCAAATGGCTTCATGGTTCGGATGTTTTATCCTCCATGTAAGAAATAAACCCAAGGCAGCAAAACGAAGCATAATAAGCAACCTGAAAAAGAAAAAAAAAACATTAAATAGGCAAGTTCTAAAACAGTAGAAAACAATGCTTTGTAAGAATGCAGAAAAGAACCAGAACATGGAAACATGGTATGTTGTGATTAGCATATAAATAAACTATGTTCCTTGAACATGTTCGTACAAACACTATGTAGCATATAACTATCTCCCTTCCCTTGAGCATGTAGTGAAGATCTGATCCCAATCCCACACACTCTAATACCCTAGAAAAGATAGAACGCAGAAAAGAAAGAAGTGATGAATGAAGTGACTGACCTATAAGGACTGAGAATAGCAGCTGAAACTCCAACCTTGCGGGTCAAGGGTCTCCTCACTTTCTCTGCAAACTCCGGAGGGGGTTCAAACCCGTTAGCACCGTAACCATCTTTAGGCCACACAGCGTTTCCATAGCCATAGGTCCCCTTCGTCTCAAACAGCCATCGCGTGTGGTCAAAGTCAGGAAGATGATTCTGCGCTTTGAAGGACTTCACTAGAGAAAGCCTCTTGTCCAACTTAAACTCCGCCATAGAAGGCAGAGGCAGAGGCTGATCCTCACCCTCAGATCCCTCTCCCTCTTCATCACTACCATCATCTTCATCATCACTCACATACTTATAAGGCTCTTTGCACCCAGGACACTTTCTTCCTCCTTTGTTCTCGCCAAACTCCAAGTAACACCCCCTGCAGATCTTGAACCCGCATTCGCACGTACTACATGGCCTTCCTTTCATCGCTTCCTCCCCGCAACCCTTCATTCCGCAAACTGACGAGGATTTCGACAGCGCTTCGGTTTCCATGGAGGATTCGATGACGTGGCCGCGAGTCACGGAGTTGTTGCCTCCGGTGAAGATCGTGCCGGAGATGAAACTCGTGCTGCCCTTTCCGTCTTCCGAGGTAGTCAGGGGCTTGCGGTCGGGCGTCGGAGGAATGTGGACGGTATACGTCACGCATTCGGAGTTGATTTCTTCAATACCACCGTCTTTGGAAGCGCCCGCGCCGGAGAGTCTCCTACCGCCGCCAGAAGCTCGGAGAGGGGAAGTGGGGTTGTTGGTACAGACTGAGGCGCGTGAAACAGGACTGGTTAGTCCCATGCTTCTGCGTCGTCCTCCGGACGACACCGTTATGGTGACCGGAGAAGAAGAAGGGGACGACGCCGTTTTGACCATGTTGCTAAAATGGGATATAAAATGAGAAGATGTGAGGGATTAAAGAAAGGATAGTGAGAAAACGAAAATCCTCGATGGCTTAAACATAAGGGTGTGAAAGGTGTGAAATTTGAAATTGGAGGAAGAAGCAGAATTAGAAGTAGAAGTAGCAAATAAAGGAGCAACGGTCGATTTGAGACTTTAATGCAACGGTCGATAGATCGTGACCGCTGATTTACTTCAAGTGGATAGATCTGGACCACTAATTTACTTATTTTGAAGTTACCTTCGTTTTTTAGTTTGTAATAAAGGATATCTGGTCTGATGCAGGGTTCTCGTTGACGGCTGAGAGAGGGAACCAAAAATATGGAGCGAGAAGCTTTTAAATTTTGAATACAATATTTTTATTAATCAAATAAACAATTTCATAATAATTAGAATACAAGAAACACTACATGTTTTTAATTTTGTTTCGTACTTTAGTTACTAAAATGGGATATTACAATTAAAATAAAGTATTATTATGGATATAATATTTTCTTTGTATTTTTTTTTAATTCTATACTTTGTTTTTTAAACATGTTCAAATTCTATTTAATTTAAAGTGTTTCTCACTTCCTCGTGTTCATATTTTGTTACATTTTTTTTCTTATATCTATGTTTCAATTTGATATTCGTAAAAGAAATATTTAAAACAACACAATATTAAAAAAACATTTAAACTAGAATGATCAAGTTGTATTTAATATATAATATTATAAGTTTTTTTTTAATTTTACAATATCATATTATTGAATAAAAAATATTATATTATTTGTTCAACATTTAATATATGTCTTTTTTCTCTCATATGATACAATTAGGTTTTATATAATTTTTTTTACATGCATCGAATAAACCACCTATCTATGTGTTAGTAGGAAATCGAGAAAAACGATCGAAAAATGAAGGAAAGAAAAATCGAGAAACATGTGACTGATCGGTAAAGCGAAAAGGTGGATGAGAAACCATTCGATGTCCAATTAGAAGGGCATAACACATAAAATCGAAAGTTAGAGTCGGAATCGGAGAAATAATAGTCAAGAGTTTATTGTGGAACAAACCAAGAAATTAGAAGTATATGATGCTAAGGTTAAAAGAAATCAAAAGTAATCCAAAGTCCTCAATAAAATCGAAGTCTAAATCGAAAGAAAGGTCAACCCGCATAAATATCAAAATCGTGGCCAGATCTTAAAGAGAAGGAGTTAAACATGCACATAAGAAACAATTTCTAAATCGTGGCAGAGGAAGAAGATCATGGGAACGTGGGTGCAGTTTTAACATCATAGAAGAAGAAACTGCAACACGCACGAAGAACGTGGTAGCAGTTTTGTTAACTGCTCCTAGAAGGCTTGAATGATGCCCTATAAATAGAGCAGAGGAGGAAGGAATAAGGGAGCAGAAATTGGCAGAGAACATGATTAGTAGTGAAGAAGTCTACCGGAGAAACGACGAACACCATGAAACTTCTGGCAATCTGGATTTCCATGCTCACGGAGTACCTTTACCGCTTTTTTTACTTTCCTTGGTAATTTATTTTGATGCAATTTATATTCAGCAATTTTATGTTTATGTATTTTTGATTCTTGGTCATTTCGATTTAATGCAAGTTAAGTTTTCGTATTTATATTCCTTAATCATTTTACATTAATGCAATTTCGATTTCCAGTCATCTATTGCACCTTTGATTTACTGTCCTTTACATTTCCAGCAAATTCGATTTCTCGTTATTTACATCATTTCTGTTTCGATTTACCATCTTTTATACTTAAAGCAAATTTAAGATTCTCATAGTTTACATTTCTTTGTAATCTAAATTTCAGCACTGATTTTCGATTTCCAGTATATTTCCTGCTTTCTTTACTTCGAGTATTCTTAATACAAAACACCAAAAATAATATCTTTGAAATCGGGTAAAATTCGAACCTCATACACATTTCGATTGAAAATTAATTTGCTAGCCTAAGTAAAAAGAACTTACGTGGTAGAATTTTGGTTAGCATCAAAACATCTTAAGAGTCGAAATCGATTGAAATTCCACCAGAAACAAATTGGCGCGCCAGGTAGGGGAGAGACTTGTGTTGAAAAACACAAAATTGGTTAGTCCGAAAGTGTATGAGATTAAGGAGTGGGAGGGTTATAAGAATGAGTCAAAATTCTTCAAATAACCAGAGTAATAGTGAGGGTCTAAATGGTGTACATTCACCAAATACTGGGGGGCAAAGTCATAATGGGAATATGCCTGTAACATCGACAACTGTGAGTATGTCGACACCTGCGGGTAGTGAACAAAATTCAGGCGTCCTAGCAAATACCCAAGTAGGATCTAGTGTGGTAGTACCAAATAATATGCAAACTGTGGGAAACCCCACAACTACGTATGTAGGGCCATATATGAGTGTAAGACCTCCCGAGTTTTCACTTAATAACATGAGCGGGACTGGAACTTCTTCAACACAGCGGAATTCGAGATATAACTTAGGAATGCCTCAAACGCTGGGCATGCCCCAGAACTTTGGAGTCCCTCCGAATTTAGGAACATCTCAAAACTTAGTAATCCCTCAGAATTCAGGAAGCGGACAGAATTTAGGCACACAACAGACGCTTCCAAATCTAGATCATAGAGGAAATCTAGACCATAGAGAAAATTTGGAACATGGAAGATATACATTCAATAGAGATTATCATCGATCCAATTTTGAGACTATCGAGAACACTGGTACTGGGATATCCAGTAACTCATTAGGGATACTTAGACAACAAATGGATGAGAGCAATTTTGAGATGGTGAATATGTTATCCCAACAGTTGACTACAGTCCTAAACCCATTAGTTCAAAACACTACAGCTAGTTTTGAGATATTAGCAGATCAAATGTCACGAATCGGGGATGCATTGGCTGTACCTCCACGAACAAGGGTAGAAAATCATGCTAACCAAAATGCCAATATCAATCCCCCATATCTTTTAAGGAGAAATCGAAACAATGATCAACAAATGGGGAATGAATACCAACATGGAAGAAATGATATTTATGAAAATATGAATGAGGGATTTCAAAATATGTATAATCAAAATAACATGCAAAATAATCACATGTTAGGACAAATGATGAATTTCCAAGGGATAGAATTTAGACCACCCAACCAAACATACTTTGTGTCTCCTTTTCCAAACACGATTCTCGAGACGGAATTACCTCGAGGATACAAAGTACCTAAATTCACCAAATTTGCTGGAGAAGTTGGTGAATCAACTATCGAGCATGTAGCTCGATATCAGATCGAATGTGGAGATCTCGCGATGAGTGAAGAATTAAAAATAAAATATTTTCCTAGTTCTTTGACTAAAAATGCTTTTACTTGGTTTACTTCGTTGTCACCCAATTCGATATATAATTGGTCACTAATCTGGAAAGAAATTTTCATGAGCAATTCTTTAGAGGAGAAACTCAAGTAAGTCTCATCGACTCGATGAATATAAAGAGATACAATCATGAAAGCATAGATGATTATTTGAATCGATTTAGACAAATGAAATCGAGATGCTTTACTCAAATTCCTGAATATGAATTAGTCAGAATGACCTCTGCAGGTTTAGAATTCTCGATTAGGAAAAAGTTAGTCAATTTACCATTGAATGATATGGTTCAGTTAGCTGATAAAGTGAGAAGAGTAGAACAAATTGAATATGAAAAACAAAGATATAAGAAATTTGAGAAACCGATGAAGAAAGAAAGAATAACATATATAAATGATGTGTATGAAACAGATCCCACGACAGAGAATGATGTGGAAGAGACTGTCGATGAGAAAGTAAACATAGCAGAGCTCAAAGTAGGAGCTCCGTATATCTGTAAATTGCTACAAAAGAATGAAGTAAAAGATAATATGGCAAATCGAACATATACTTTCGATGTGACAAAGGCTGATAAAATCTCCGATATTTTATTAAAAGACAAACAAATTAGGTTGAGCGAAGACCATAAACTGCCTACGGCAGAACAAAGGAATGGTCGAAAATATTGTAAATTTTATAATGTTTTTGGACATTGGACTAACAATTGCATACATTTCAGGAATACGATCCAAGATGCGATTGACCAAGGAAGACTGAAATTTGAAGAAATGTCGATGAAAGTGGACACGAGTCCATTCGAAGTGCAAGTGGGATACATTGAATCCCAAACGGGCATGACTGAGGATGTCCGAATGACGAATTCTACCTTTGTAGGCATGGTCGATGTTGCTGAAGACATTGATCCTAAACATGTTAGAATGGACGTGTCTGAAGAAGATATGGAATTCGATCTGAGTGATTTCGAGAAAGAGTTCGAAAAGGAGATCTACCCTCGATCAGGGGATTCCCTAATTGAGTTTTTGAATAGAAAGAAAGAAAAAGACGAAGAGGTGTCGTTATGCCCACGATGCAGTGCGGTATTCGATAAATCGGCTGCCAAAGCTTTCAGATTAAAACAGATAAAGAAGATCGAGAGTCAGAATAAAAGGAAAAATGACAAAGTGGATCAAACGGCCCAACCAACGATCGAAGAAAGTCAACAGAAATCCGTTGGTTCTGGTGTTAGCGGAAATCAAAGGCAATGGGTCAGAAGAGAGATGTATCCTTCTCGAGGAGGAAGAGGCAGACTTCAGAGCAATGATGTCTTCGAGAGATTGTCATACGACGAAGGATCGAACATTGGATTTCCAACATTCCAAAGGAGATTCCGAGGAAGGCCCTGGATAAGAGGAGGAAAGATCCCTTATTGGAATAATTATAGAAACTTTGAAGAGAATATTGTACCAATGGAGAGTCAATATGCAAGAGAATTCTTCGATGATAAGAATGAGGGTACTTTGGATGAGCATCAAATCGGAGTGATATCAATACTACCAGCAGAATATGTTAGTGAATATCAAGAGTACCAAGAACAGAGTGATGCCAATCGAGAAGATGACTTCTACTCAGAAAACATAAAGCCA